TCTGTCATCTGTCATCTGTCATCTGTCATCTGTCACCTGTCACCTGTCATCTGTCATCTGTCATCTGTCATCTGTCATCTGTCATCTGTCATCTGTCATCTGCCATCTGTCATCTGTCATCTGTCATCTGTCATTTGTCATCGGTCATCTGTCATCTGTCATCTGTCATCTGTCATCTGTCATCTGTCATCTGTCATCTGTCATCTCTCATCTGTCATCTGTCATCTGCCATCTGTCATCTGTTATCTGTCATCTGTCATCTCTCATCTGTCATCTGTCATCTATCATCTGTCATCTGTCATCTGCCATCTGTCATCAGTATTCTGTCATCTGTCATGTGTCATCTGTCATCTGTCATCTGTCATCTGCCATCTGTCATCTGTCATCTGTCATCTGTCATCTGTCATCTGTCATCTGTCATGTGTCATCTGTCATGTGTCATCTGTCATCTGTCATCTCTCATCTGCCATCTGTCATCTGTCATCTGCCATCTGCCATCTGTCATCTGTCATCTGTCATCTGTCATCTGTCATCTGTCATTTGTCATCTGTCATCTGTCATCTGTCATCTGTCATCTGTCATCTGTCATCTGTCATCTGACATCTGTCATCTGTCATCTCTCATCTGTCATCTGTCATCTGTCATCTGTCATCTGTCATCTGTCATCTGCCATCTGTCATCAGTATTCTGTCATCTGTCATCTCTCATCTGTCATCTGTCATCTGCCATCTGTCATCTGTCATCTGTCATCTGTCATCTGTCATCTGTCATTTGTCATCTGTCATCTGTCATCTGTCATCTGTCATCTGTCATCTGTCATCTGTCATCTGTCATCTCTCATCTGTCATCTGTCATCTGTCATCTGTCATCTGTCGTCTGTCATCTGTCAACTGTTATCTCTCATCTGTCATCTGTCATCTATCATCTGTCATCTGTCATCTGTCATCTGCCATCTGTCATCAGTATTCTGTCATCTGTCATCTGTCATCTGTCATCTGTCATCTGTCATCTGTCATCTGTCATCTGTCATCTGTCATCTGTCATCTGTCATCTGTCATCTGTCATCTGTCATCTGTCATCTGTCATCTGTCATCTGTCATCTGTCATCTGTCATCTGTCATCTGTCATCTGCCATCTGTCATCTGTCATCTGTCATCTGTCATCTGTCATCTGTCATCTGTCTTCTGTCATCTGTCATGTGTCATCTGTCATGTGTCATCTGTCATCTGTCATCTGTCATCTGTCATCTGCCATCTGCCATCTGTCATCTGTCATCTGTCATCTGTCATCTGTTATCTGTCATCTGTCATCTGCCATCTGTCATCTGTCATCTGTCATCTGTCATCTGTCATCTGCCATCTGTCATCTGTCATCTACCATCTGTCATCTGTCATCTGTCACCTGTCATCTGTCATCTGTCATCT